AAATCTTTTAAATGTTGATTCTTTGTAGTTGGAGGGATGCTATTCTTTGGAACATTTCTTTTGTTTTTATTAGAAAATCTCATTAGTAGCCTGTTAGCTGTAAGATGGAAATAGTCACTTCAGTATTGTGCCAGTTTGTTCCTTTGTCCCTCAAACTCTCAGATTTAACTGATGTCACCTTGAATCTTGTTCATTTACACCTTAGCACTGGACACTAACCAAGTGATTGTCAAAATCCTTTGGTGTTTGTTTGTTTGTTTGAAAACTTGTATACCACCCAACTCCCAATGACTCTAGGTAGCTTATAATCAAACAAAGAAATTACAAAAAATATATATATAAAAGATGGCAAGTGCGACTGGATGGAACGAAGCAAGGGTTCTCACTCTCCCTAGCCAAAGGTCTGGATGAAGAGCCAGGTCTTCACAGCTCATCTAAATGATTCCAGTGCAGAGTGGGAACCTCATTCCAGAGGGCAGGCACTGCTACAGAAATGGTGTGCTTCCAGGGTCCTGATAGATGACACTGTTTAATCAAAGGAACCCAGAGTATACCAACCCTGCAATATTGAATCAACTGGGCAAACGTTATGGGAGACAGGCAGTCCTTCAAGTAACCAGGTCCTATGCCATCTTATCTTATCTTATCTTATCTTATCTTATCTTATCTTATCTTATCTTATCTTATCTTTCTCTATGATTCCTTTATAAAAGGTGCATCATCATGGTCCCTGCTTGTGCCAAAGCCACCTTGCATACAGTTGCTAGCATGAAGAGTTTTCCTCTGCAGACATCTGCACTTGACATGTGAATGTTGTGACTTATGCAGGCTGATGTCATTTGCATGATGGCAAAAGAAAAGACTTACCAAGCCTGCTTCTGTGTGGAACATGCTTCCTTTTGTGAATGACTGAATAGGCTGTTTCAGTAACTATTTATCTGGGCTGGAACTGTCCTGATGACACACTCAATTCTCTTTGTGCTGTTTACAGCCTTTCTTGGGTGGATGTGGGTTGAGAACAGATTACAAAGTAGGAGGTTACTATAAGAGAGTTCAAAAATGTGTAAAACTATAGGGGTTTGGGCGATAAACAGTTTGTATTCCTCTGGATGGGAGCTTTCCTGACTCTCCTGGAAGGCCCTTTCTTTCTGTTTTTAGAGGTGTGTTGAGCAGTGATCAGCTTAAATGAACTGTGTACGGAACTTATTTGAAGGGGGACTCCTGCTTGCTTTGATTCTCTCTTCTCTTGTAGCTGCTTCTTTCTCTCAAGTTTTATTGATGAACTGAATATTTTACAAAAGTCGTAATTGGACCTGAAGATAGTGTGCAATGGCTTAAGATTAAGGAGGAGGAGGTCCATGTCTGCTTTTAGGTGATGGAGGGGGAAATTTTAGTTGTCCAATAATGTAGAAAGCCAAGATCTGTAGGAAGGAAGGAATAGCAAAATGAATCACCAGAAATGTGAAGAAGGGGCGGGGGGGGGGAGAAATTCCTTTCATACTTTCTGACTAAGGTAGCTTGTTCTGTGGCCACCATCTGCTTTTTGTTCAGGGTACATCTCTGGCAGCTCGGGGTCCTTCTGTTACTATGAGGAAGAAGTAAATGGCTCCTTACAGACTCTGCCAGGTTCACTCACCCCACAGGTGCTGACAGCATGCAGAGTTTATCCAGTTGCCATTGGCATGTCTGAGGAGGATCCTCAACATGTACAGGACCAGCCTTCAGACCTTTGGAAATGTAGGCAAAATACTGAGATGCTGTTATGCCCCCACGCAGAACCCTGCTCTGGTTCTTGGAACTCCTGCCTTTCCTTCTATCCTACCTACCTCTCTGACTCAGCACCCACTCTCTTCCCCTGTTTTCCATTTTCCTTCTTGTTTTCTTTTCTGATGAAGTCCTTGATTTAAACCTTCCTTTCTGCATCTTTCTGATGCTTTCTCACATGTTCACCTCCAGCAGGATATTTAGGCATGCGTAAAGGGCACAGTGCTGATCAAGCTGGCTCTCGTATGCACACTCCCTCAGTCTTTGACCTCATTGTGAACAAAAGGCATTAAGGAGGTGTAGATTAAACTTTCCCAGCTGCTATGACCTTGCTTTCCCACTTTAAAAAAAGTATTCTGAATTGGTGCTTTTTATCCTGAATATTTAAATGTTAAAATGTATTAATAATTGAGAGGTAATGGAGGAAAAGGGTTGAACATTGTGAGAAAAAGGTGGAGGTAGCTCTAATTAAATTGTATCTGGTTTTTTCTGGAACTGGCATTGCCATTTGCCTTAATACAACTTTCCTTGAGGTGGTACCCCACATTTCGTAGGACCATAACTCCCAAAATTCCCAATCTTCATCGCACTCTCAGTTCCTCTGGAGGGTGCTTAGAGGTTCTTCAGGAAGGATGCTTTCAGATTGCTTTCAAATGAGATGCAGAAGTTTTGCCTTTCTGTAATTAGCAACTTTTTTTTAATGCTTTCCCTAAAGCAGGGGTGGTGGGTAAGTTTGTTGTGGCCAGGCCAGTACAACAATGGGTGGTAGACTGGGAACCACAACTATTTACAGCTCTTCTCAAGTCCACACTTCCTTTCCCCTATTTGTGTGCTCCTTCCTGCATACTGAGATCTCTTTGAAGGCGGGAACTGTGCTACTGAAGGCCATCTTCCCAGTTTCCAAGTAGTTGTTTAATGGGTCAAAATGAATATGATCTACCTGGATATGGGATTGTTGAAGTAGATGTTTTAAACCCTCCCCATACCTTCCATGCTCTTAATGCAGTTAAAATTGTTCTCACTGTGCTGTTACTAACAATGTTGGGACAATACTCATAGCTATGTTCAGTATGGGGGGGAGGCAAGGTTAAACTGTCCCTCTCCCCCTTTCATACATATATAGTTGTCTCAGTGCAGCCAAAGGTCTTTAGTCCTATACTCATTAAAACATGAAGGTAGAAATCTTGATTGCTGTCCCTGTAGTTTAACAACAGTCTTTTCCTTACACCAAACAGGTGGCAATTCAGTGGAGCACAGAAAAAAAAACATAGTTTTTTAGGGACTCTAAAACAACTTCTAAAATGCCTAGGAAAATTAAAAGAAGCTTTACCTCATGCTGAAAAGACAGCCATGTATTTTCTAGTCAAATTCTCAGAGAAGAACATTCTAGCATGAGATGCCATCTCTTTTCAGATGAAAGGTGGAAAAGCCATTTTTGCAGGGGTATGAGATGATGACCTTAGGAGCCAGGTAGATACGATGGTCCATTTCAGGCTTTGAAGGTGAAATCCAGCAATTTAACTAGGGCCTGGAAACAGTGCTGGCCTAATGTGACCATATTAGCCAATTCCAGTCAGGCATGTAGCCATTTTCTTTTGGACTAGCCGAAATTTTCAGACCACTTTCACAGGCAGATTGAAATAATCAGAATCTGTCTAAATAAGACTGCAGTCAAATCCTTTTTCCTTACTGTCTCAGCGAAAATTGCCTCTCTGAAAAAGGTCTTTATTCAGAGAGATGTTCCCACTGGCATTATGCATGTAGTTTCTTTTTATTAATCAAACCTTTTAGGGTCCTTGGATCAATAGCACCATAACTTAACCTATTCCAGAAGGGGAGCGAAACGTATTTCTAGCAGAGTTCTTGCTACTTAGGCCTTATGTTCAACTGGCAGTAATCGCCCTGGTTACTCCAGCCCGCCCCATTCGGTCCGGCAGAAGGGGCATGTTGCAGACCCCACCAGTCAAGGAATTTCAACTGGTGGGGTCTAGGCAGAGGGCCTTTTCTGCTGTGGCCCCCGTCCTATGGAACAATCTGCCTCCCGAGGTCCGGTGTGCCCCCTCCCTCTTGGCCTT